ACACCCTGTATACCACAAAAATAGTAATTTTTCCCATTTTTAAGGCAAACTTTCCAATCCTTTTGGCAGACAAGTATATTATTGTGTTATACATTTCAATTATTACAGAAAAAAATCAAAACCAGATTGCTGGTTATCACCGACCATGTTGTCGTTAAATCGACATCTTCGGGGCGTCGGACTGCAAAAACTTCTCAAGAATTTTGTCGGACAATAAGATACTTTCATTTCAAATCTTATTACCAAACCCTCCCAGAAAAATCAGCTTGCTGGTTGTCACCAACCATAATGTCACCTAATCGACATATGGTTGGGGACAAACTCAAAATACCAACATTTTTGTCGGACAAATTTTTTGGGGGGTTTAAAAAATATATATCTTTCATTTAAACTTAAAAAAAGTGCTGGTCATAATATTCCATGTTTATGCCAGATTGACATGTTTTCTTGAAAATCACGGGAAAACTTACCACTGTTGAATTTTCCTCATAGTCAAATCTTGGGAGACTTGTCAAACTTAAGCTGCACGCAAAGTTACAGCTTGCTGGTAATCATTTTGTTCTTTGTACGTGGGCCCGTGGACTATAAGTACGGTTTTGACAATTTGAATAAATCCGCTATATGGACCTATCACACGATTTTCGAAGAAAAAAAGAAATTCCTTCCTTGACATTAATTTGAAAAAAGTGCAAAAATGGCTTTTTTACGATTTTTTTTTATAAAATGTTTAGTGAATTTACAAATATTGAGAGAAATTATTACAGCTCAATGTATTCGCAATAACCATGTAAATTGACAAGCTGATCCATCGAACCCTTTTTCTGTTCCAAAATGATCAATGTTTTGAATAAAAAGGAACACGTTTATTGCTCCTAAACGTTAAGTAATCATTATCAAAATGAAAAATAAGAATTTGTCAAAATTTTTCTTGACTTTTCCCACAATTTTACATTGTGATTTATATTTAAGAAAAAATAAAACAAAATTTTCATTTTCATAAATTTTTAGATTTTTTTTTTTTGGAAAAGTTGCTGGACATTTCAAAAAACAGTATCTAATCGTTTCTGAAAAAAAATAAAGTTTAGGTACAATAACTTTTGATTAATTTTTTTTAATAAAAAAAAAAGTTTAAAAAAAAATGTTTTTTGAAACGCAAGTAAACTTCGCAGAAAATATCGAAAAGGACGAAATTTAGCTTTGGTATAGTCTTTTCGAAGTCAGTTGAACATGTATAAAAACGCTTAGCGATAAAATTAAATGAGTTTCATAGGCGTCCCTAAAAAAGCTTTCTGCTAAAGGCAAAAAATTATAATAATTTGTATACTGTTCATTAGTTCATTTGGCCAACAACATATTTTAATTATTTATGTCCTCAAACAATTTTATTATATTGTTGGTAAATTTCGTTTTGTTCCGTTTTAAAAGGTCTTCAAAATGCCATGTGGTAATAATATTAGTAAACAAAATATTCCTGTAATATCTCCATTTCGCAATAATTGTAATGTGAGTGATTAATATAAGGTGCCTATAATAAATTAAAATTACCTGAACCACACCAAATTCCGTATTGCTGCACTGCACTGCTATGCCATTTGTTGACAACTGTTTACTCATTCTTCAACTGGGCGACCAAACCTGGATATTGTATGGCTAAATAAATATAGGAACAAGTTTTTCAAAAATTTCAATGCCGAGTTGCTGCGTTGCGACCGAACCTGGTACATATTGCCAACCTCTTGGTGCTTCAATTGAGATCGGAAAGACTATATCATATTTGCATTTAATGCAATGAAATAAAGATTAGTATAATTATGATGTGCACAGGCTGAATCGTGTCAAAACAACTAGATCTTGTTTTCTCAAATGTCCAGCAACCTTTCTAAAAGAAAAAAAAAAACAAATTTGAAAATTTTAAAGTCTTTTTCCCTTAAATGTAAACGAAGAGTGAGAAGTCGAGAAAAATTCTATTTCATGTTCATGTTCATTTTCAATGTTCCTTTAATTCCTTCCAAAACTTTAACCATTTGGAACAGGAAAACAGCTTGATGGATTAACTTGTCAATTTACAGGGTTATTGTGGGTACATCGAGCTGTAAAAATTTCGTTCGACAGCAGTTTTTTATCAGTATTTGTAAATTAGCGGTAGATTTTCCAAAAGAGCGTAGTAATTTTATTATGTTTCTCAAATATCAAGGATGAAAAAAAATATGTTTTCTTTGAAAACCATGATAGGTTCTTGTAGAGACATTATTCAGTTTTTCAAAACCGCCCTTGGATTTACTGTGTAATAATTTGTTGTTGAGATATCGATCGGCAAAAGTGTCATTTTTCATTCAATTATCGATATCTCAGTAACTAATAATCGTACGGAAACCTTTCACAAAGCAAATTGAAGCAGAATAAATAGCTGCAACTGACCTCTGCCTTGATTGAGTTCGAACAAATTTTCCTGAATGTGTGAATGTTCTAAAAAATGTTTTCTCGAAATATTTCTTTTGATTGTTCGATAATCGTAGTTAAAAAAAATTTTTTGTCGAAAGATCTTGAAAGACAAACCATTTTTCAATGAGATAAAGCCTTTCAAAAATCACAGGATATTTAGGTTTTTTTATATTTTTTATTACTGTTCCAGCATTAACAGATGGATGTCATATAATAGGTTCTAAATTCAAAATATTAAAAATAAGTTTTAAATCAACATTTTTTTGGTTAAATAACACTAATTTAAAAAATAAAATTCCATCCATGATCTTGGAGCTTCTACCGCTCATGATTATCATTTTTCTATACACACGAAAGTTTCTTTTATTTATAATTTTTATTGTATATTATATTGACTTTGTAAAATCTCACAAGGAGGTTATCTTATCATAGCAAATATGTTTTTCATCACATCTTATGTCTCACTGGGTACAAAGTTCATTATCTGTTTTTATTTATACACAGTGTAACTAAAGGGCCCCACAGACTTCGTTCGATTCGTGCGAACAGGATCGTGTGACCAAACCGCGTGAAGCAAGAATGTACAGTTTTTTGCTCTCACACACTACGAACCATTGGCACAGTCCGTTCAGTACAATGGTATCTGGAAAGTGTCTTTTACTAGTAAAAAACAAAAGTAAAAAAAATCATAAACTGGTACGGGAATTGGCGTTCGAGAAGATATATGTTTTCTCGTATCAATTTATTATTATTTAGAACCAGAAGATCATGATATAGATCTATTAACCAGAGAGGATGGCGTGAGAACCGCCAATCTAAATGAAAGTCTGGAACTGCTGATGCGGACCCACTTCCCGGGATCCACATCAATGGAACGGGAAGATTGGCCAGACGAAATTGAAAATCCACCCGCAGTCTTGGATTGGCAGATTGCCAACCAAACTGTAACTAAGGACAAAATTAGATGGGCAATGCAGACCTTCTCACCCTTCAAATCACCAGGCACTGACGGTATATATCCAGCCCTCTTACAATGGGGCTTGGATGTTTTAATGCCGCACCTGGAGCGGATGTTTAGGCTGTGTTTTGCACACCTTTACATTCCAAAGATCTGGAGGGAGGTAAGGGTTGTATTCATTCCCAAAACAGGGAGGCTGGATTATACCTCCCCAAAGGCGTATCGACCCATCAGCCTGACCTCGTTTCTGTTGAAAACGATGGAAAAGCTGTGTGAACGATACATAAGGGATAGTGTGCTGATGGACAGACAGCCACACCCTAATCAACATGCATACACTCCAGGGCGATCTACCGATACTGCTCTCCATCAGGTGGTGGGCAGGATCGTGAAATCTTTGGACAACAAGGAGTCCACCCTAGGGGTATTCATTGACATAGAAGGGGCGTTTGACAAAACGTCCTTTCCCAAAATCAACTCGGCTCTCACGGAGAGAGGGGTTTCTTCCACCATCTGCAGATGGATATCGAATATGATCACAAAAAGAGCTATACTAATCAGTGTGGGGGACGCCTCCGCAAGAAGAAGTGTTGCAAGGGGCTGTCCGCAGGGAGGTGTTCTATCACCACTGCTGTGGAACTTAGTTCTAGACAGTCTCTTGTGCCACCTCAACTCGGAAGGCATCTTTACCATCGCTTAAAGTGGCGTGAGGACCATGCTCTGTCAGTGAACCCTAGGAAGACGGAAATGGTCCTCTTCACGAGGAAGAGAAAATTGGGGCCAACAAAGGCACCAACTCTCCTAAACACTACGCTAAGCTTTGCATCTGATGTGAAATACCTAGGGGTTACACTCGATGCAAAGCTAACATGGAATCTACACTTTGAGAGAAGATTAAAAAAGGCGTACATATCCTATGTGCAATGCCGCGGAACCGTTGGCAAAACCTGGGGCATGAAACCAAATGTGGTTATGAGGATATACACTGCCATAGTGAGACCAATGTTGGCCTATGGGGCTGTCGTCTGGTGGCCGAAATCCCAGCAGACGACAGCTAAACAAAAGCTCAGCCAAGTACAAAGGGTTGCCTGTCTGAGCATAACTGGAGCTATGCGTACAACACCTACCATAGCAATGGAGGTAATGCTGTGTCTGCCACCTCTGGATATTTATCTAAGAGAAATGGCTTTGACAACCATGCTTCGCCTCGAGAACGTTGGCTTAAAACCGGTTGTAGGACGTGGAGAAGTCAGAAGTCGCCTGTGGAATGAGGTCGTCAGGAAGACGCCCCTCCTGCAGGCAGACACTGACAGTATTTCTCCCCGGTTTGCATTTGACAAACCCTACACCGTACTCATTAAGAGACAGGAGGAGACCGCCCGTGGAGATGTAATTAGCATCTTCACAGACGGATCAAAAAGGAAGGAGGGTGCAGGATGTGGAATATACTCTAGATCCCTGCACATCCGATATCAGTGGGCAATGGATAGGCATGCTACCGTTGTACAAACGGAGTTAGCAGGCATAACCATAGCCGCGAAGGAAATTGCCCGCAGGCATACTACGGGCAAAACCATTAGAATCTACACGGATAGTAGACAAGCACTACTGACCTTGCGTAATCATAAGATAATGACTAGGACAGTATGGGAATGCCATGAAGCACTGGTTGTGGCCTCGGCCGCTAACAGCATATCTGTATGCTGGGTAAAGGGACACGAGCAGTGCTATGGCAATAAAGAAGCTGACAAGCTAGCCAGGAGCGCATCGGGCCTCAACATTTTTGGACCCGGCCCCTCCAGTGTGCTTCCGTTGTCGGCACTTGTTAGAATTATCAAAGCAAATACCCACAAAGAATTTATGAAACGGTGGGATGAAACAATCAGCTGTCACTTTGCTAAGGAGTTCTTAGTGTATCCTAGCAAAGACACAGCCAAAAAATACCTGGCTATGTCTAGGTCAAATCTTCGCCTGGTGACAGGTATTCAAACTGGACATTGTTGGCTAAGGAAACACCTTTACAATATGGGGAAGTGTGGAACACCTCTTTGTAGGGGCTGTGAACAGGAAGACGAGACGGTGTTACATTTACTATGTGAATGCACTGCCGTCTCATCAACAAGAGGGTCCATGTTGGGAGAACGCTGGCCTTTAATAGCCTATATTAGAGAGACCCCCCCTGAGAACGTCACCACCTTTTTCACTGTAATAGGCTGGTTGGCGGCTCAGGTGGATTGATCTCTCTAATGGGAGGATGTACAAGGGGCCCAATGGGGCCTAAGTGCTGTAGCTTTGCTACCCTCCCCACAATTCCAGACTCCACAACCAGAAGACTGGTATAATTATTTGCAAATAGACGAAGCGAATATTTGGAATTGTTAAACATTAAAAAAACATAAAACACACCACAGAAATGAGACAACCCTCAAATCCAAAGTCAAAGGCTGTGCGGAAGGGGGCTACACTTGAAAAAACATTGCCAGTGTCGACGCCAGGGATCGAACCTGGACCAGAATAGGATGTCTGGCCGAGAAATACTTGCCACCGAACAGTCGACTACCACGCTAATGTGTTGCTAAAATTATTTCTCTTGACGCATTTTTATCCACTTGTTACGCCTTATTTTTCATATGCCGGTCGGAAATTTTTAAAGAAATTATTAAAGTCGGATTAGAACTCTTTATGTTACTGTGGTCAGTGTGTCTATATGGTACATACAAAGGGGAACCAACAGCACACATACCACAATCCAGGAACGTACACTCTTGTCCGTACCTTCAGAAAATCTAGACACAGACTTCGTTCAATTCGCGCGAATTGGGCCGCACGAATCTGCACGAGTGTGCCAGGCACGCAATATTTGGAGAAAAAAGCGGTACAGTTTCACCGTCGTGCAAAATCTGTTTCGGTTAGATACGTTGCCTTTCTTAGTTCGCGCAATTCGGTCCGTACGGTCCTGTTCGCACAAACGGAACGAAGTCTGCGGGGTCCTTTAAAAATACTTGGATAAATTTTAATAGCGAATAAATCGAGAGAAAAAAATATAAATAAGTAGGTTATTATAAGCGCTTCATTTTCAAGAAGCTGTTAAAAATTAATAAGTACATTTAGCTTATTTATCCTAGAAATATTTTTTAAATACATTTATTATTACGAGAATTTGAATAATTATTTTATATTTTGTCATTTTAAGTTCACCCTCGGCACGACTATTTTTTCATAATTTGTAAAATATGTGATATACAGTATCGCTTTTTAACAACGAGACCAAACCACACTTTTCCAAAACTGGAAACTTTCATTGTGACTTTATCGCATTGTATATTAAAATGACAAACTCAATTTTGCCAATTTATATACAGGGTAGCCCATCGAAAACGTACCGCAAGGCATTACAGGGTAGTAAAGAATTTTTCGGCAAAATCCAAAAACAAGTCAAATTTGTTTCTGAGGGGGACAACTTTTTGCTCAAAAAGCATACCAAAATCTTCAACCCCCTAAGTGGGGGTGCTATCCCCTAAATTTTTTCAAATGGGAATGGGGGTCAAGTGGGGGGTCATTAGAAAGGGCTTTTAATTCTCTATACATCGATTCTTACTTTTTGAAAATCGATTCATTATTTTAGAAAATATGCAGCTTTGAAAATACGAACAATATTTTTGACGAGAAATGCGAAAATCGATTTAATTTTACTTCAAAACTTACGGTATTAGTCAAGTAAATGCTGAAAATGTTGTCCGCCAACTTGCATACAATGATACAGGTTGTCTTCAAACCGTTGTCGAACATTCTGGAGCACTTGCGGTGTTACTTCGCGACATACATTAATGATTCGTCCTCGCAGATCTTCCAAGGTATCAGGTGGAGTGCTGTAAACTTTGCTTTTAATGTGCCCCCAGAGAAAGAAATCTAAAGGATTTAAGTCGGGTGACCGAGGGGGCCACTCAATTGCACCTCTTCGTCCTATCCAGCGTCCTGGAAACGTCTCATTTAGGTAATTGCGCACATTGAGCGAGTAATGTGGAGGAGCTCCGTCTTGCTGGAAAATCAGTTCGTGTTCATTGTAAGCAGGGTCGTCCTCTATGATATTTGTTAGAGCTGGGTCGATGACATTTTGTAGTAAATCCAAGTACATATCGCCTGTCAAATTTCCAGGAAGGAAAAAAGGACCTACAATGGAATTTCCAAAAATACCTGCCCATACATTCAACTTCTGGGGGTGTTGGGAGTGTGTCTCATGGAAAATCCTTGGATTGGTATCAGCCCAGTAACGACAATTATGGCGATTCACTAAACCATTCAAGAAGAACGTACACTCGTCCGAAAAACACACATTAAAGAGGAAATTATCGTTTATCGCTCGTTCAGTCATTATTTCGCAAAATTGCAAACGACGATCAAAATCGTCTTCATTTAGCTCTTGCACTAGCCGAATCTTATAAGGATGGAATTTGTATTTTTTTAATATTCGTTGGACACTTGTACGACTCACTCCTGTCGCAGTAGCCAATTGCATTGTACTCAGCGTACTATCCATTGCCACTTGCCCCAATACCGCTATTTCCGTAGGTTCATTTAGTACCGGATTTTCAACCTGCCTCTTTTTGTTATGAACGGAGCCAGTTTCGCGAAATTTGGCCACCAATTCGCGAACAATTTTTCCAGACGCATGTTTCTCAGGATGCCGTTGGTTGAACAGTTCGGCGACCCGATTTCCGCATTCATTGTTTTTGAAAAAAAGCTCAATAATTTCTACTCTTTCTGGAATTGAGTACACCATAATTAATCAATTTAAAAGACTCGGCAGTATTGGTACTCTTCAACTACAAGTCACAAGACAGTTATCTAGCAACTTCTTGTGGCCTATCTAAATACGAAACAAAAAGCGGACAATTTTTTGCTCACCAAAATCAGGCTAAAGAATTCGCAAATCAGAAAAAAAAAACAGCGAATTCTTTTGAAGGAATTTACCAAGCTAATACCGTAAGTTTTGAAGTAAAATTAAATCGATTTTCGCATTTCTCGTCAAAAATATTGTTCGTATTTTCAAAGCTGCATATTTTCTAAAATAATGGATCGATTTTCAAAAAGTAAGAATCGATGTATAGAGAATTAAAAGCCCTTTCTAATGACCCCCCACTTGACCCCCATTCCCATTTAAAAAAATTTGGGGGATGGCACCCCCACTTAGGGGGTTGAAGATTTTGCTATGCTTTTTGCGCCAAAAGTTGTCCCCCTCAGAAGCAAACTTTACCTGTTTTTGGATTTTGCCGAAAACTTCATTACTACCCTGTAATGCCTTGCGGTACGTTTTCGATGGGCTACCCTGTATATTCTTGATGCATAATATCAATAACATTTTCATTATTTCTTTTGTACAACGAAAACATGTATTTTCCTCAGTTTTTCTCTTTCAAGTTTATATCAGTAGAGAATCGTTTAATTAATTTCGATATCTTGCCTCTTTAAATAAAAATAGACGTCTGTATTTCATTATACATTGATTATTATTGTCTAGTATATTGAGAATTACACCACTGTTGAACGGGGTTCTGTATTATATCGACACAGCGATTAGCGGAACACAGGTATACCTAGTATTTGTTACCTGTATAGATATTATCCCGACTACAGCTTTTATGAAGAAAGCAAATAGCGTATAGATAGCAGCAGTATTGGCACATTTTACATTCTAATTGAATGTACTATTTTGCCAGAATATCACTTGTTCCACGAAATATCGATTTTTCAATTGATGACGTAAACTTTAAAAGGCGAAATAGCAAAGCAATGAATTTCTGCAAATAGGTAGTATTTTCGGGTATTTGATTGCAATATTGATCAAACAGTTCTGTTGTCCTAAAGCCATCAACACCAATACCTCTGTTCGTGGTAAGATCAGTGCTAAATATTTCGGGAAATTATCTGCCATAAAATGAAGTAATCACTTTTCAGCAAAATGTTCTTAAATAACGAATTTCTATATATTATTAATGTAAATTTACTTTTTTGCCTTTTTAGCACGTGCACATTAATTTTATTTATATTTATTTATTTTAATTTCAGTTAATTAAAAAGAAAATTAACAAAAACGGCTAGCTTATGTGGAAAGAAAATAAGTAGGTATAATAATAGTGTCTCTTAAGAATGTAACATATTACGAGTAATAACTTTTTTAGTTCAATTTACCCACCCTTTCAAAAGTAATCATCTGAGATATAAAAATACATATAAAATTGAAAACTTATTCACTTTTTATCAGAAATTTACTGCTGCTAATTCTACTTTTTAAGAAGCCACAAAAATTAAGGGTTATTAAAAAAAATCCCAAAATTTTCGGTGATTTTCAAAGAGCTGTAACTTGGAGGGAAATGGTCGTAGAGAGAATAAAAAAAAGGAAATTGAGGCTTCAAGTGTCTAGTTTTCGGATTTGCAGTTTAAAATTTTTAGCGTAATCATAAGAAAATCAACAAAATTGCAAATTTTTGTTTTCCTTTGAAAAGGCTTATGAACTTTTTTGGTACTTACACCATAAAGCTCTTTTAGATAATTTAATTCTCTTCAATTTGAGCGATTCTGGAGCCTTGTACGATAATTTGTCGTTGAGTTATCGTTGATCAAACAAAAAAATCATTTTTGACTTTGGCAATCAATTACTCGGGAAATAATGGTCGTACATAAAATCCAAGCAGGGTTTTGAAAACTGCAAAGTATTCTCTGAAAATGTTGGTTAGAAAAAAGGTAAAAAATTGCATAATTAGGAATAGTTGAATAACTTGACATAACTTTGCAAATAATGAATAATTAAGGATTTTGACTAACTTTTGAACCTCAAAGTGTCTTAAAGAAACCCTGATAATTTCAAAACGATGCGATTTTTTTCTTAGTGCCTGGAATGTTTAAATTTGCCGTTCTTGCTGAAGATCAATGTAATAAGTAATTTTTCACTTTTTATTCATTTTTTTTAAGTTAAAAATGTTTTTTTAGCAATAATCCATATTTTCTTCATCAAAAACGTTCATGATTCTAAAAAAAAAAAGAAAAATACCTTACCCTTACCAAGTTTGTAAAAGAGCCTGGGTCAATTGATGGTGATTTTGTAATTGCGGATAGTCCCGTCGTCATCGACGCCCGAGCATGTTCTAAACATGCCCAATGAGAGTTACCACGTTGTTGGCATGAAGAAAATTTCTTGTACGTTTTGCGGTATGAAACGATTCTCCATGCTTGTACGCATGGACAGGACGTGTGGTTTAAAGATTTCGGTGATGTACCTTTCGGAAGTCAATGTTCTAGGAATGATTCCCAATTGGGTTCTTATATTAATGAATACGCCTGCCCATACCGTAACGGAATCGCCATGGCAACGACAGACGTATGGCGTCGTCGTGGAGAACGTTGTACCGATAATTTTATGCGGCCAGCTGCGGCTTTTAATGGCTGTTCAGTTATGGTATGGGCAGACGTATCCATTAATACCAGATCTCAGTTGGTAATCATTCCCTTCATTGACTTCCGAAAGGTACATCACCGAAATGGAGAATCGTTTTATTCTCATGCAGGATAATGCTGGTCTTCACACCGCAAAACGTACGAGAAATTTTCTTCACAACGCAACGTGGTGACCACCCACCTATGAGTCCCGACTTGAACCCCATTGAGAATGTTTAGGACATGCTCGGATGTCGATGACGACGAAACTATCCGCAATTACAAAATTACCAACAAATGACCCAGGCTCTTTTACAAACCCTGTAAGGAATTGCGCAACGAGACATCCGGCGGTGCATTAATATGCGAGAATTGGAGATCAGGAACAGAGGCGGCAATACCCAATATTAAATTGTGATCTGCAACGTCAAATCAACCAAATTTTTTTTCATTTTATTTATAATCATGAACGTTTTTTGATGAAGAAAATATGGATTATTGCTAAAAAAAACATTTTTAACTTAAAAAAATGAATAAAAAATAAAAAATTACTTATTACATTGGTTTTCAGCAAACACAACGAATTTAACCATTCCGGGTAATAAGTGCATTTGCTTTATTTTAGCGATATTAAGGTTAATTCAAATAAATTCTAAACATTTTCATAAAATGCTTCTGGTATTAGATTGATAAATTTTACTTGACAAAGTAGCCTATTACAGTTCATTTTGAGTTGAACATTAAATATACAGGGCGTACCAATATGAATATCGGGGTTTTAAAGCTTTGTAGAATTTATTACAGTGACCTTACCATTACAAATTATACATCAAATGAACGAGCAACTCAAACAGTTTGTCCTACAAGTGTTCAATATGAGCACCCTCCGTCACACGGCACATATCGAGTCGATAGCCGAGTCCGTCCCAAACCTTGCTCAGTGTGTTTGGAGTAATTGATTCAACTGCAGTTTCAATCCTATGTCGTAGGTCGTTTAGGTCAGCTGGTAGCGGAGGCACATACACCCGATCCTATGGCGTCAGATCTGGTGAACGTGAAGGCCATGCGAAACAAGCTCTGTCATCCGGCTCATTTCGGCCAATCCACCTGTCGGGAACAACAAGGCATGCCAATGAGGCGGCGCACCATCTTGCTGCCAAATAAAGTTCTCTGGTTCAGCTTCGTGTAATTGAGGAAAGAGCCATTGTTGTAGCACATCAAGATAAGAAACACCAGTTACAGTAACTTCAGCGTAAAAGAAAGGCCCATACACTTTCCGCCGGGATATGGCATAAAAAACATTTAATTTAGGGGAGTCTCGTTGCAACTGTACCATCTCGTGAAGATTTGCTGACCCCCAGACCAGAGAATGCGCACGCGCACGAATACTTGTAGGACAAACTGTTGATGTGTACTTTGTAATTGTTAACCGCAATAACTTCTACAAAGCTTTAAAACCCCGATATTCATTTTGGTACGCCCTGCATATAATAAGTATACTCGTATTCATAGGAAAAAAATTGCATTTTCAATTCGAGATCAAATATTTTTTTCGTTGATGAAATGAATGAAATGTTGAAAAAAATGACATTTTCACCTCTTTTTGCAAAATATATCAAAATCTATAGACACTTTATTGAACAGTTTTTGAAGTATTCTTCTAAAATCATTAGAATTTATTTGGAACGTAGGTACCTATGTAGCTAATTAACATGGTCTCATTTTTACTGAAGTTCCTTAACTAATCCATTTGCTTCAAGTGGTTTTCAGGTCATCACCTACTTTGCGCTTTATACCTTATCAATAAAATGTTAATTTAATTTAAATATCACATTATTACCGCGACTTGGTCGATCTGGTACGTACCTGTAACTTCATCAGAATCTAAATCGCGTGGCCGACTTTCACGAAATTGTGTCACGTTTGGGGAGTTAATGATTTGTTACATGTATAACACACTTCTCCTTTAAAACCGAGAAAAACGTTTTTCATAAGTTGTCGAGAATCAAGGGCGCCCACAAATTCCAATATTGTTCCACTCTCGGGCGGACCGTTATTGCATTACCATGTTAGAATATGGATGAGATTGAAAATACATATATCTAAAATATATTAAATAAAAAAAAAATACTGATACTGAAGATTCTTTTCTATTAACATAAACTCTTAATTTCGTATATTATTAAACAAAGCGATATTCTGCATGTAAAATTCTATAATAATTAGAATATTGTAAGAGCCTAAAATACTTACAAAATAAATTTAATAAATAGCTTACTAATTACTTAAAAAAAAATCTCCAACGAAAGTTGTTTGCTTTTAGAAGTTGTATTAATGTATCAATTTAATAAAATTATATTTCTACCAATATTCGTTTGCAAAGTCTCATATGAGCCAAACTTTAGAAACTAGATAAAAGTTTATATTCGTAAAGAAGAGAACATGGAGATAGAAGAAAAGTGTGAAAGAAGGAAAAATAATAACAAGAATATTAAAACATAAAAAGCCTGTATATCGCTTTTTAAGCAAAAATATTTCTATTCAGTTTTCCCGAATTCCAAATGGTTCTTGAAATATCGGGGTTTGAAGTTGCCAGGTGGTATGGGTAGTTGCTAAAGAGTAAATTACATTGTTGCGACTAGAAGGCTTAGAAAAAAATGTGATTTGTGTTAATAAAAGCATAATGACAGTGTTATTATTAAAGCTGCTCAATGTGACCACCGCCTTGTGCAATGCATAAGTCAATCCTCTGTCGAAGCTCTCGTCCCCAGTTGTAGTTTTCCATATTGTTTTTCATCTCATCAAACGCTGTATAAATCTTCTCAATGAGTTTATCTCTGCAATTAGGCTTTCCCATTGAATAGGTAAGTGTCTTGCACAGCAACTTTGTTCAATAAGTACATAAATTCTGGTACTAGTACCAAGATCATTTTCAACAAGCTCAAGCACTTCTGCAGGATTGTTTATTCGCATAACTTCTCTTTCACAAGTCAGAACGCTTGCTTGTCTGGAAGACAGCGGGCGGTTTGGATATCGCCGTTGATATTCCCTAACTGAGGCGGTGGTTATAGCATTGCAATATATCCATACAGAAAAATCATGTCCACGTATTCTTCAGTTGAATAAATTAAACGTATTATTTTAAAACAAACGACGGAAAAAATAAAAAAGAACCAACTGTTAATGATGACAATTATTTATCAAACTGACAATCACAAATATTTTTCTAATCTCAACCAAGTTGCCAATTATTAAATTACCTAGTCGCAATATAATTTGCTCTCCAGCAACTACCCATACGATCTGGCAATTTCAGACCCCGATATTTCAAGAACTGTTGGGAATTCGGGAAAAGTAAATAGAATAATTTTTGCTTAAATTCATATACGAAGTGTCTCAGATACCTCGACGGCCACTCTGTTTGCTTTTGGTTTTTAAAATCTGCATTACATTTACCTATTTTTAACCTAACAAATTGTTCAGGATCAAAATTCCCTAGATTTTCGTCACCTTTTTATATTTTACGATAAAATGGGCAATTACTACTAACTCTTAGAATAAAAATTAATTGTGATAAAGAGCAAAGCAACCCATAAACCTATAGACTTATAATTATGTCAGATTAATAAAACTGTAGAATGATGTATTACATAACCTTGAATCCTTACGTCACTAAAATCGATCAATAAAGTATACTCGGTGGTATACAGGATGTTAATGAACTTATGTCAAAAATTTTTGCCAAATGTCCGTTATGTCAAAATGAGGTAAATACACTGATTTGGGTTGAGTAAAATGTAATTCTAAAATCTGACTTACCTCAACATTGTAAGGCCACCTTTTGAGAACTGGTGATTTTCATAGAAGATGTTCGATATACCCACCATTTGCTTGCACACAAGCTTCAGCGCGACGTATCCAATTCCCTCGCACGCATTGCAACATTGCCAAGCGGCAATCGGTCGATGTCGCGAACTTCCATGGAAAACACAACACTTTGCATATATCCCCACAAAAAGAAGTAGAAAAGGGTGAGATCAAGGGACCGAGGGGGGGGGCATCTAACTAAGCTGCCACGGCCTATCCAGCGATTGGGAAAAGTAATGTTTAGAAAGTTGCGCACTCTGAAAAAGGTGAGCGGTAACCACATATTCTGCTGAACATTTAATGGCACTTCTTACAATAACTCCAACAAGCGATTTTGCAAATAATCTAGATATGTATAAAGCACCGTCTAAGCGACCAGGCAATTCAAAATTTGCGCTGTAAATTGAGGATTTCTTGCATGTTCATGAAGTAAATCTCGACGTACTGGAAAATCCTCAGGAACACGTTGAATATGAAATGGGTACAACTGAGCTTCTCGTAATGTCCGCCACACAACCGGATAGGATGTGAATTATTTGCTTGTTGTGAGATATTTCTGGTGCTACGATGGGGATCTTCTTCGACGAGATCTAAAATCATCTCCTCGACATTTAAGATCCTTAATGGTCGCCCTGGGCCACCGTTGCGACCTCGACACGGTTGTACATCATTGGTGTCAAAAATTCTGCGCTACAGCAACAAATGTTCGCGGTGCGGGGGCACATCGTTCAGGATATCTTGCACGGTACACTTGACAAGCTCTGTCGGCATTTCCATTTGCTTCGCCATAAATTACGAGCATATCATAATATTCGCGATTGCTAAATAAATGCGCCATTTTCAAAAGAAAACTTGGAAATACTGCTATTAAATGTATTTTCGAAAAACAGCACTGCAATCACTACAACAATGTATTACAAACTGACTTTCGAATACAGTCCGGCTTTATAAGAAACCTACAAACTCATAAAAAGTGTTACAGAATTTTTTGTAAGCACTCGCCATGATAAAATACATGTATTTCAGCAGTTCCAAAACACATTTTTAATTAATTTTTTTCTCGATGACCTTAAACTTCCAATACAAGTTTGTGACATCAGTTAACTCAGTTTTTGCTCCTTTTTCACCCCTTTAAATTTTTGACATAAGTTCATTAACACCCTGTATATTTGCCACTATATAGTATAAGACCGACACAAATAAGTTTACGTCTGAGACAGCTGGTTGTTCTAGATGTGGTATTGAAATTAAAAACAAAATATCGATTGCATTTATTCAAATACCTATCTATAAAGATGTCTGACTTAGATTTATGAAACTTGGGGTAATGATAATTAAAATTAAACTAAAAGTAAAAATTATGTGAATTTATA